ACACACACACACACACACACACTCTCTCCCCCCTCTCTCCCTCCCCCCCCCCCCCCCTCCCCCCCCCCCCCCCCCCCTCCCTCACCCCCCCCCCCCCACACACACACACACACACACACACACACACACACACACACACACTAGATTCTGTCCAGCTGTTTGACTGGCTGAATCCAGATGTTTTTCACAATTGTCTTCATCTGTGATGCATTTCAGTTATGTAGTAATATTCCACTTCAACCAAGAACAGTCACAAGTACACACATGTGAAACACAGTGAAGTAGTTGGACAAAGAAAGAGATCAACCTGGAATGACCCTCGGATTCAAAACAACACTGCTGCTGTACAAAACACACACACAGAGGAAAGGAGCAACATAAAGCGGTTGTGGTCTAGATAGAGGAGTGAGCATGAGGTGGGGGTAAAATAGAGAAAGAAATATAGAGGCCTAATGTGGTCCTGGTGTATTAAACAGGTTTTGGTTAGAAAGAGAAGAGAGAAAACAAACTCATTAGTCAAGAGGATGGAAATGTGTGTCCTTCCCCTGCACACTTCAGGAAGCGCACACTTCTGTAAGAGAGCACACGTGGCTGCACTCTAACCTGTTTTGTTCGCAGGATTAGAAGTTAACTTTTGGAGAATCTTCTGTTTGTTCCAGAAAGCCAAATGGGAAATTTCCCCAGACCATCTGCCAAATCTTGGTGAGGTTTAAAGCTGATGTGGGTGTTCTCTAACCACGACAAAAAAACGTCCTTTATTTTCATATTTCCGCTGAAATTAAATGATGTTTCCTGCACTGTGTGTGTGTGAGGGAGGGAGATGGAGAGAGAGAGGGAGAGCTTTTGCGGGATAAACCGCAGGGGATGAATCTAATTACATGTCCCGGTAACTCTTGCAGGATCTGATTATGGCAGCCCAAATGCAGATTTGTTTGTAAGATAATAAAACTTTATTTATACTCACAGAATGTAATCTGTAATGCAATGCGTTTTCAGGTGTACTTTTAGAACAGTGTTGCTGGATGGAGAAGTCCGGATGGAGGCTTGGCAGAGGGCAGGCAGGCAGGTGATCCTGAAGAAGAAAGAAAAACAGTTGTAAATCAAAATGGCAGCCAAAGAAACTACACTGATTGGCAAAATGAACTAGCTTCATAACAGAAAGTGTACCACAAAAACAGCAACGACTGGCTGTTGGTACAGAGTTCTTGTTGGAAGAGGTGATGGCTTGATGGCAGACAGGGAGAGAGCAGAGCCATGGACTGTATATGTCCAAATACTCTGTGTTACAGTCTGAACTGTTCCTGTGTCTCAGGTGTACACGTCTCATGGGCCCACAGTTGTCATGCCGACATGGTTCTGCTCGAGGAGCTGGTTCCTGAAGGTTGGACCGTTTGACGAGGGAGGCAAGGTAAGAGTTCACCCCCAAACTGTTCCCAAAGCCTTTTCATTCTGTGTTTGTGTTTCTTGTTTGTGCATCCCTTTCTTTTGTACAGTGCAAGCATCAGTCCATCTGTCGTTTGGTTCAATTTTAAGGAGTCATTTTCATACATAGATAGCTACCTATATAATTACATTTATGAAAAATAGCGACAGAAAAATGGCAACAAGCCAGGATGAGACTGATGCAGCTGTACAAGCTGTGGTAAGTTGACTTATAGAGATAATGATATAAAATCCTGATGTAGGAATGGACTCTAAAAACTATGCTGGACAAAAAAAGACCAAGATCGATGCCGCAGGCCCAGATATATCGTCTTTTTTTATTCCATGCATTCTTCTTCCATGTCAAAACCTGACACCTACATTATCCACAATGCAACTTGTCCGCTGACAATTAAATCGGCGATTTGGATGTGTTAATGTGCGACTAATGTACCCTTAAGTTGTGAGCCACAAGCAGAGAAAACCCCAGCCTTTTTCATTTTCACTTGTAGTCTTCAGACCCAGTCGACACTGACTCACGTGACATCACTTGAGGCAATTTATTGGACTTCACACCAAGGTTGTTACAGTTAACTACAGCTAAACAAAAAACTGGGGCACCAGGGTAGCTTACATGGTAGAGCTGGCGTCCCATGTATCAAGGTTGAGTCCTTCAGCACAACAAGCATGAGACTAGGATTTCTACATGACTGTGAATCAGTTGCCTTCACAAAGTGTTTGTGTTGTAATAGCTATTCTAAATGTCTTAAATCTTGCCAGTGACAAACAGCCCCCATATTGGTTTTTTTTTTTTAATCTAAAACTTACACTAGCTTATAAAAACTACCTAAAACTAAAAAAATTTTAAAAATTAAAAATAAACCGAAATAAGCAAACCCACTCTGGAAACGAACCAAAACTAAACTGAATTGAAAACCAAAAAATAAAAACAACATAAAATAAGAACTAATGAGAAACACAAGACTATAATAACTCATCACACAGCTCCATCTGGAGCCACAAAAGACTTTATCTTGTTCCCAACTTCACCAAAATGTCCTCGAACACGAACACAGGATGAATGACTGAAGAGAAATTCTCAAACTCAAATTCAAAATACAAAGTTTTGGACCTGCTCATTTCTATTACATCCCAGCCACTATCACCAAATACTGAGCCAAACCCTGGACTGTAGCCTTAGGCAGTTCTACCTGAACTCGCCCAAACTCTATTAGCACCTAAAATGTCTGATATAGAAATATATTGCAGTTATTAATTGTCATCTCCAACTATTATTTCACGCTCTACTTCCTCCTCTCTAGGGAGTCCCGGAGGACTTGCTTTTCTTCTACCAGAGTATGCGACAAGGAGGGGGCGTGGCCAGAGTCGACCAGTGCCTGCTGGTGTACCGTTACCACGAGAAGGCCACCACACACTCTGTAACAGAGTCAGTCCCACTCAGCTACACACACACACACACACACATACACACACAACACACACACACACACACATACACACACAGCACACATATACACACATAACACACATACTTGGACACAGTGTTGATCCTCCACCTACTCACAGCTGCTCATGGGCATCCCAGATTTTCTCAAGGATCCATACTCTCACACACTAATATGCTCACACACACACACACACACACACACACAGACGCATGTTTTTGTAATCTTGAGATTTTCTGAATGTGTTTTTGGAATTCCAGATACTTTCCCAGCCTATGAATCAGGAATTTCAACCTGTTTTCTTCTGTGGAATGTGCAGTATCTCTCTGACGCTGTTGGGAAGGAATCGGATCTTGTCTGTGTGTGTTTGTGTGTGTGTGTGTGTGTGTGTGTGGGATGTCTCTGTGTCGCCTGAACACACCAAATGAAAAGGTCTTTCTTGCCTTCCCTCCCCCCACACCTCCCTTCCTTTCCTCCTTCCTTCCTTCCTTCCTCCCCTACGTCTGTCCGCTGCTCGTATATCTCCTCGTGTTGACGCACTCCTTCACCGATCATCCACCTCTCTGTCTTCATCTATCATCTGCCTATTTTTGGACGCCTATTTAAAGCTCGCCTTGCCTACTTTCCACTCTCACCCACTTCTTGTCACCCCTGCCCAGCTTACCTACTTCCTCTCTTTAGTGAAATGAAACCATCATCCTATTTCTTTCATTCACATATGCACACACACACATACACACACACACACGCGTAATTGTAGAGGCTATGTCAGTGGGGTGAAAAGTGTTTTAAAAAAAATTAAGATGGTGCCAAAGAGTAACTGAGATATGAAGCTTCCTAACAGACAGGCTGTGTTTATAAATGTGAGTGTGTGTATGTGAATCTATATCAGAGTGTGTGAAAGTGTGTTTGCCTTTTGATCCGCAGGGTATTAGGAGGATGAAGGCTCCAGTATGTGTATACAGATACAGTTTATAGTAAATCTCTGCCATATTTCTGCCATGTCTTAGAATCAAAGACTGTATAGAGAATGTACAGGAAAGAGACCACCCGCGCTCCCTGATGGTGGTGGTGGGTTTTGGTTTGTTTGTCATATGAGGCCCACTGTTAGCCCCAGTCAGAAGCTCACATCAGGAGAAGAGAGTGGAGCACCCCTTGTGCATGTGTCCATATAATTACTCAATACCAGTGTGTGTGTGTGTGTGTGTGTGTGTGTGTGTGTGCGTGCGTGCGTGTGTGTGTGTGTGTGTCTGTGTCTGTGTGTGTGTGTGTCTGTGTTCGTGTGTGCGTGCGTAAGAGAGAGTGAGGAAGGGGTTAAGAGCATGAGTAGAGCGTGAAGACATATCTGAGGGTAAAGGTGTGTGTGTGTGTGTGTGTGTGTGTGTGAGAGAGAGCGAGCGAGAGAGAGAGGCCTGTGCACAGCTGTGCATATCAGTCAAGGTGCAGGCAACAGGAAAACAAGCTAATTTAAAACAGGCGCAATTTTTCTGTCTTGAAAAATAAGTGTATTTTTTATCAAATGCAAGGAATGCTTTTGAAAAATTAGGAGATTATGGTCTGGTACCGTAAGGATTGTTCGGATTTATTACAGTTTGGGTCTTATTTTTGTAGTTTTATCTTCAATTTCTTTCAGTTGTGATAGCATTGTGATCGTCAGAGTATCTGTTAAGATCTGGGAACTTCCCCTAAATAAAGTCTGACAAGCAAAAATCACAAACAGGCAGTAAACTAAACAAGATTTTAGTCTAATTAACTAAACCACTTCATTTGGAGCTAAAACTGAAACTAAAATGTCTGTAATAATGATTTGTTCATATACAACTATAGCAAGTATAGTCAGTCAAAGTTAAACAGAGTTGTTATGTAATGTGTTTACAATGGGCAGTTTGGGTAATAATTTGAACTTTTGGCTAAATTTTCTCCTCCAAATTAGTTTCCATACAAGTCACCTCAAAAACCAAACTAGGATATAGGAATAGAAGTGCATATTATATACCACATACCGTGTATCTGTATATTTCACACTAAATGAGACAGTCTCCATTTAGACCCACAGACAGACTAACGTTGCCTACTTCTGTGTCCATCCTCTGATCCACTACTCGTCTCCTCTGTTTCCAGGGAAACTATTTGGAAGCTGCGAGTGGACTTCCTGCAGGAGAGAGTTCTCAGCCAATGGGAGAGCTTCACCATATGGAACGCTGGGAAACAGGGCCGGAAGCTGTACCGCTACCTCAGTCCGACCAATCAGAGGAAGGTACGTCATCTCCAGCTAGTGGGATGGGAGACACTAGCCAAATTATAATTTTTTTTTTCTTTCATCATCATTCTGATTCATTTGTCAGGTGAAGGCTTTCTGTGATGTCGATGAGAACAAGATCCAGAAAGGCTTTTACACATATGAGGAATCCCAGGTGAGATCAGCAACTGTGGATACCAAGTACAGCAGGTTTATTGTGATTCAGTGTATTAGTTTATAAGATATTATTCAAATGAATGGTCACTCAATCACTTTATGTGGTTTACGTGTCTCTCTTTCTGTTGAATTCCCTCCAGCAAAGACCTAAGCCAAAAATCCCAGTTGTACACTACAAAGACGCCTCCGCCCCTTTCATTATCTGTGTTAAACTGGTGAGCAGAAAGCGTGTTTGTGTGTTGTATGTTTGCTGTTTCTAACCGCCTGTCCCTCAGGTCTGTAATCTAAGTTAACGACATAATGATCAAGGGCGTGTGCCCGGCACAGGACATAACACACACACACACACACACACACACACACACACACACACACACACACACACACACACACAGAAGGCAGTCAGGAAATGGGTAGAGACAGCAGCCTGATCTTTGATCACATGATGCTTGTACAAACATCGGGTGTCTTTGCCACTGTTCACTGTCCATTTTGTACGCTTTGTCATTTCAGCAATAGTCACTATTCACTACTGCAATATTGCATATAAGACAACGACATTCTCTTTTTATTATTATTTTAACATGCACAAACATATAGCTGTCCTGTCAGCCAAATCACTAATAGCCTATTTACCACCTAGCCAGATTCAGACATCAAATCCAGAATGACCCCACCTACGGGGGCTACTAATTGCTCAATTATGGGAATTGGGAGAAGTAATCATAGTCAGATGACAAGGAGACCTGGACTCAATCACACACACACTCACATAAACACCTGGACTCAATCAGATATGTTTTTTATACCCAGATGTTAAATAACTATAATCAGTAAATATACAAATCATTTGAACTTTGTACATTTTCCATGGCTGAATCTCTTTAGCCTCTAAATAACCTTTGACTTTACTTCAGTACAGTTAAGACGCACAGCACAGGGCACTGAAGACGAGAAGGAATTATACTTCTTATAATGTTTTTTGAGTGAAAGGTTTTCTGTTCCTCATCTTTCTCTCATGTTTCATCTGTAGGACATGACTGGAGGCATTCTGGAGGAAAACCTCAACTCTTTGCAGCTAAAGGAAGGAATAGATTTCTACCATTTCAACTGACTGCTCAGAGCGATGGAGAAGACAAGAGGAGCCCTGCAGCTAAGAGGAATGCAGGGGACTGCGCGATAGGCAGGTGATAACAGGAAGAGTGACCTGAAACTGGGACAGAGATAATACCACAGCAAAGGAAAGAGGAGGTTATAGTGTCTTTTTAAGTGTTAAAAGATGCCTTTTATGTGTGGGAAAGAATGAGAACGTTTTTAAGTTTTACTTGGAAAAGTTGATGAAACGTCTGATAAAGGCACAACAGTTCATCCTACAGCACTGTGGTTCAATACCACTCTCATGTCTGTCCATTGGATATAAAGCTACAGCCAGAAGACATTAGCCTAGCTTAGCACAGAGACTGGAAACGGGGGGGAAAACATCTAGCCTGGCTCTGTCCAAAGGTAACTAAATGCACCTAGCAGCACTTCTGAAGCTCACTAATTAACACGTTATATAATGTTTGTTCAATACAATGACAATTTGCCATTTTATTAGGGGTTATGTATTTCTTGGTCATCCACAGTAACTCCAGTTTTTTGGTCCTTTTTACACATGTTAATTAGCTTTAGAGGTACTGGTAGCTCGGATTTTGTTACTTTAGCCTGAGTCAACTAGTTGTGTCGGAAAAATCCGCTGTGGCGAGAACAGCAAAACACACCATGAAAGCGTCCTATAAATGCTGACCACCTACCTATAACGAACCAGAGACACTTCCTCATGAACCCAACATCAATAAACAGGGAGGAATTAAACTGAAGTTAAATGTGTCAATAGGTCTACCGCAGCTGATAAATTAAATGACCGTTTGTGGGCAAGTGCTGACTTGTACTGTCAAGAAAACCTCTTGGAAAATGATTTCTTAAAAAGACTGGGAACCATGATTGATGTTTAGGGTAATAAAAGTAACCATAATCGGACTCAGAGGGTATTGGCACTACAGCTATTTATCATGCAAGAGGACATGGTGATTGCCAGTGTAGACCATTGGAGAAATTAAAAGTTATTGTCTTTTCTAATCCCGTGTGGCCTGGTATTTTCCAACCTACATATTTTAACCTGTGTTGGTTAAGTCAAAGGAGTCAGCACATCATCACATCACAGAAGGTTCAACTTATAAAGGGTGGGATGTTTTATGGCCAGCATCGTAAACTGATTTCCTAACAGTCTCTCTGGTGCAACCATGCAAAATCAGATACACGCACACATCTGCTACAAATGTACAAACATTGATACTGCATGTATTTGTTTTTCTTTCCCTGGGTCTCTTATGAAATCTAAAGAACAATAACCTCTTTAAGGGAGCACAGTTCTGATACATAAACACACACACAAAGTTTATTTTACCTCACAGACTGTGGAGTTTTTCTGCCCAAAGGTAAACAGACCTTTCTCCACAAAATCTCCCCTGGTGTTTCCTGGGTCTGCGACGTGGTCTGCCTTACTGTAAATCTCCCCACAGCAGTTTGCAGGGAAGCAGCAGTGGCGATAAAAGAAAAACTGGAATGGGGTATTCAACTCTGCCATATTTTATTTTCACTAGCTTTGTTTGTTATCATAGACTGAACATACAGTTGCACAGTGGTGTGGATGCACAGAATCACTGTACCGTATTAGAGGTTCGGCTTTAATTCATTATGTTTGATAAATGGCTGTTTGGGCCTGATTCAGCCTTAGGTTTGAGTTGAAAACCCCAGGTCTCTGCCACCCACAGTACAGTGCTGTGTAGAGGCTGAGAAAAATATCACATCCACTTAGCACTCACTCTCCACCTAGACCCCTCTTCCCCCTCTGTGTTTATACACACAGACACTTAAACAAGAAGGTGTCCTCGTCAGAGACGGGACTCTCTGCAAAAGGGCTACAGCTAATGATTAGATTCTTGATTCATTGATTCATTGTTTATCTCTAAAAAGGCAGACAATAGTACAAAATCCTCATTGCATTGTACCCAATGTTACATACTCAAATAACTTGTTTGGTCTTACCATCTAAAACCCAAAAGATATTCAGTTTAATGTCACATAATACAAAGAAAAGCAGGAAATTGTGCATCATTAAGAAATTGAAAAATTCAATAATTAAAATAATTCCTAATCAAACAATTTATCTTTTGGCTTTTTTGGACACACATCTGTATTCATCTGTAAATTGCGTGTTGTTTGTTTGTTTATTTTTATCAGTGCTGTAGGCTATCAATGGCAACAACATGGGATGGCAGTGTGTTCAATGGAATGCAGATTAATGCTGTACAGACATTTGTGGTCCCCAGGAGATGAAATGAGTGACTTTGGTGATCCAAGCCTCCTTTGCTGTCATCAGGTCAAAATTGTAATTAGTCGAATAGCTTCACTTCGTTTATGACCCAGTATCTGCTAAACTAATGACATTCCCATCAGCCTCAGCTGTTAGCATGCTAACACTCTGAATCAAGATGGTGAAGATGATCCACATTACACCTGCTAAACATCAGCATGTTAACGTTGTCATTGTGAGCATTTAACACAAAGCACTGCTGTGCCTAAGTACATATTTTGGGGGCTTTTTTGATCCCTTATCACATGTTTTTATTGGACACACGCTAAAGATATTTATCACCTCTGCTCACCATTTCTGCTGCTAAATATTTGAGTGAAACAGCAGGCTTGAAAGTTCATATGTAAAGTGTATGCAGTCATTGAGCTATAAGGTGCTTTGGATACATGTCCACCAAATGGAGACCATATATTTGAGAAAGAAACAAACCAAAATTTGTTTAAGTAAGACCACGCTCTGTATAAATATCTTCTGTCTCCTTTACCCACTCTGCCGTCCTGATAAAGCACTTGGTAGATGATCTGAGTGAGTTCTAATGGAGAATCTATGAAAGAGACTTCAGAAAGAGAGTAAACAGAGCTTTACTCAGTGTTTACACTCTGTCTCTCGCTAGACATCAGACCTGATAACACACACACACACACACACACAATGAATGGCCCTGACCCTGGAGCCTGCCTGCCCTCGCTAGTCAAATAAACCTATGTGTGTAGAAACAAAATGCACACACATACACACACATGCATTTACAAGACAGCTGATAAGAGAAAGAGATATGAGTCGGGTGTGTTTGGGTGAAGAGAGCTGACAGAGGTCACTAAAGGCTTTTCATTTACCTTCCAGGTGACCACATTCCTTTGTTTCACCATCTCTCTCTTTGTAGAAGTGTGTGTGTGTGTGTGTGTGTGTGTGTGTGTGTGTGTGTGGTTGTGTGTGTGGTTGTGTGTGTGTGTCACTGAAAGGAAAGGCTGTCTGCCAAATGCCAAAGTACTTAACTAGGCCTAGATATTATGTTATATTACATATATTACGTTCTGTAAGAACAGCATGAAATGTCACAGAGAGAAAGTCAACCAGGCTGCTTAAGCTGGCGCTATATTGAGTGAAAGTTAGCTAGTTTTATAGCTACAAGCTATAGAAGGCTATACAGGCTAAATTAACTTATTATTATCTTTAATAATTAATTTAACTTACTATCCTCTAGCTGTAATCTGTAATTAATACATATCCATTTGATCTGTTGATGAACCAGCATCTTGGTATTTCAGTTTATCAGTTAAAGTGTTAAAGTAGTCAGGCAGATAGACACTAGCACACAAACTAGTTCAAACAGACAAGAAAACTCAAAGAACACATTTTGTTTGTAGATACTGTGTTTCCCATTGAACACCATCCAAAAGCAGTAGTGCAGTATCTCCTTTTTTAAGTAGGTTGTGTAGCAGTTAAGAAACACGAAGTGAAGGTATTACAGTGTTAGCCTGAAAACCAGTTTTCTCAGTTGTCACCACTTTCCACTGCTTCTGCAGTTCAGTGCTCCGAGCTGGATATGTTATGTTCATCCTCCTCCGTCAACAACTACTGTCAAAGCTGCCCTCGAGCAAGGCACTTAACCTCCCAACAGACCCCGCTGCTGGGAGCTGCTCCGTCAGCCGCCCCGTGGGTAAATAAAGGTTGTAAAAAAGAGAGAGGAGTGTGCTGTGCGCGAGTAGTGAGGAACTAAAGGTCATGAAGACTGAAATCAGAGATAGAGGAATGTGTGTGTGTGGCTCCATGAGGAAGCAGTGCGTGGACAGACGGAGCGTTCCTCCTGTCAGGCCGCTTGAAAAGAGCCAGGTGACAGCAGGGGGGATGAGGGGAGCAGGTCAGAGGCTCTGCTGCTCTGTAAATACTTCACATGGTGAAGGAGCACATGAGGTCAAACGGCACATCAGCAGCTTACACTTCCTCTGCTGCGCTGACAGGATTAGAATCACTCTGCAGCCTCCAGATCTTTGGCCTTCGATTATGTTAATGGTGAAATTACATCTTTTTCAAAAATCCAGGCACTGGAGGGGGGAAATGTGTTGGTGGTACAGATGTGTTGCTCTTTATGCAGAGAGAGAGAGAGAGAGAGAGAGAGAGAGAGTAGATATATCACCCTTCCTGTCGGGTCATTCAGTAGGGTTTTTTTTTTTTTTTAGAACACCTGAACTAATACCACTTTCTTCTAAGTTAAATAAAGGGTTTATTGTAACAAATGTTACAAGTACACATTTTGGGTTGTCAGGTTGTGACAATGCCCTTTTGCTGGTGTTCAACCTTTATTTTATTAAAAGCTTAATAAGTTGTTAAGTCTTGTCCTCATTACTGGCTAATAACTGATCTATAAAGCACCAGCCAATGATTATTAAACATGAATAAAGCCATTAGATACTTATGAACTCTTTATAAATGGTCAATTTATTCAGTTCGGTTTGTTCATGTCATTTGGATTGTACACACAGCATCATCAATAACAAACAAAAAAAAGTGAAGTGGAAAATGAATATCATTAGATTTATATCTTTAAAATGTAATATAAAATCTCCCTGAATGAATTTTGCTGCTGACAGGGTATCCCACCACAGCTAGAGGCTTACGCATAACAGCACTGGAATGGGAGAGGTGTGTGTGTGTGTGTGTGAGTGAGTGTGTGTGTGTGTGTGTGTGTGTGTGTGTGTGTGTGTGTGTGTGAGGATCTGGTGTGGGGGTGTGTAGCAGAGTCTGTGTTTCGGTATTTCTCGAAATGCGTTACATACTCTGGCTGTGTGGGGGAATGTGACGACTCAGTAACATGCTTGCTGTTCCGACTGTTTTCTCACGGGAAAACCGTCCGAGAACCAAACAGGCGTTTAGAGCACAAGTGTGACTTTTTTGTGTGTGTGTGTGTGTGTGTGTGTGTGTGTGTGTGTGTGTTGTTGTTGTTGTGTCAAGGTCTTTTTCTTTCTCCGAGCAGGTTGTCTTCTGGAACAACGATGGAAAAGATACAGGAATATTAGTTCTAACATTAAAATATGCTTGAAAAGATAAGGTCACGCTTAAACTCCACAGAGGGTTGTGTAAAGAGAGTCTGGCTGCGGGACTTTCGGTGAATGTTTGAGCGAGCTGTAGAAATCGTAGATGCTGCTGTTCCAGACCTGCATGCGGCTCCCATTTTCACTGTGATAATATGATCCATCTGTTTGTAAAGCCAACGCACAACACACTCACACGGGCCTGTAGCCAACTGTCTCTGACAGTGTAAGCCTGACATACGAAAAGAGCTGGTCAGTAGAATAGAGGTTATTTAAGAACGCTTGGTGAATCGATCTGGACTTAAAGGAATACCAATAAAATGTTATAATGAAAGCTTGGCTGGGGTTATTTTGTGGGCGTTTATTTTTTACTTGTTAACGTTTGAAAAAATCACGCTATTGACTCTTCAGCAGTGTCGCGAGCTCAGCTGGGTGCTAATTAAAAGGTCTAATTGGTTCATTTGTGTAACTGTGGTTGTATCTCTTATGCTCGAGGGCTTTCTTTACACACATCTTGGGGGGGGCGTGGGGCGTGGTTTGGGGCGAGCGCTCGCGTGTCACTCAAGTCATCTCAGCTGCTGGCACGCGCCCCCCCCCCGGTGACGTGAGGCGTAGGTCACGCAGCAAAAGTTTTTTAAACAGACTGCTGTCCTGCGGCGCGCGCACCGCTCCTCTTACACAAACCTCTGGGCACAATGTTTTCCTGCCTCTAACGGGACCTTCGTCTCGGCTGGACTCAACCCGCCATGTAGGCTGCGCGCGCTGAAGCTCTCGGGGACATTTCGTTGGATCTTGCGGTTCGGGAGCAGCAGAGCGCGCGGCTCTTCCAGGCTGTTGTGCGGGATCCGGGGACCACCGGGGCGGACTGGCCACCATGCTCCGGCCGTGGGCTGCGCACTGGGTCGCGGTTGTGCTCCTGTGTGGGGCGGTGGCACAGTACTCCAGCGACCAGTGTAGCTGGCGAGGAAGGTGAGGATGAAGCAGGGACAAAGGACTGATCATAGGTGCAGATAGCACAGCAACCCATCGAGTATAGTCAGAGATTGTACTGGTATCAGGCGACACATAAAACACACCTAGCACATACTTTAGGGTTGTTATCTGCATGTTATTGTCCTTTTCTTAAAGAAGTCCGTAAGAAAATCTAATTGTTTTTTGTAAGGGGATGCTGCGCTTTCATGTGCTGTGTGTGGGGGTCATGAAAGGGACTTCAGTCGTCTGTGAGAGGGAGGTTGTGTCTTTGAACTGGCTCTGTTGTGCATTACTCGGGATTTCATTGGGCTCAAAAGGGTAATCAGACGCATGGATGTTTGATTAAGATTGTACCGTAATCCGCAGTAAGGGCGCTGGAAGGTCAGAGTAAAGTAAGTGAATATTCCCGCAATGGGAACCAGTTAAGGATGCGTTTGGCCCGCTTTGTGCAACTGCTTGTGGTTACTACTCAGAAATGTTATGACATCATTTTGCAGTAATTCATATGAACATCTTTATTAAAATCTTCTTCTCACAAAGGAAAATGACTCACAAAACAACTGAAACTAATTGTGTGTGGACAGGAGGGGCCTTAATTTAATATTGAGAGACTATTTACACTAAGGTTCTCCACATAGTAGAACTTTTAAAATATGCTCCCTTTACGATTCTGGAAATGTACTTGCAATCAGAGGAATGTCTCTGCTCTAGTTCCTATCTTAAGTAAATACAGCTACATGGCCCCTTTGATCACTCCTCCAAGTCCCCAAGTCATAAAAAATGACTTCGTGCTCGGTGTTGTAAAGTTTGCCGGCCTCAAACTTTTAACGACTTAATAGCCCAATCAGTTCCTGGTGTTGAGGTAGCTTATGCACATCAGAGACAAGCGACCGCATCCATCCAAAGTGAGAGATTTGTTGGCAGACAGCTGCACCAGAGTTGCTCCTAATGAACGTCACACTATCATTAAATCCTTTCCATGTGTTTCTTTAACTCTGTTTTGCCAGCAGATTAGTACGTGTTCAGAGGAACATTTTCACAGCACTAAAGTCCCGGATCCAAGTTTCCTTATTGATGGTTGCTTGATGATTTTAGGCACTTGAATCTTAAACTCTTTAAAGGTAAACCGTGTGCCTGATGTCTGAAAAAAATCTGCCCTCTCATCTGCAGTGGTTTGAGCCACGAGTCTCATCGTAGAGATGTGGAGCAGGTCTACCTCCGCTGCTCTCAGGGGTCCCTGGAGTGGCTCTACCCCACAGGAGCTATCATTGTCAACCTGCGGCCAAACACAGAGCCCTCTTCAGGACACATGGCAGGTTTCCATGTGTGCATCAAACCCTACACTTACTCCCAGGTAGAGTATGACACCAGTATTAAGGAATGAACATTACTTGGACAGAATTCAGGCTCAACAATCAGAATATTACCCCTGTTGTCTCAGATGGATTATATGTGTCCTCTCGGTCCTGCGTGTCCAGGGTTCTCATTTGTATCTGGAGCGTGCGGGGGATCTGACGCTGCTGCTGGCAGAGGAGGACCACGCTCAGGGTACAGTGCACTGTTTCAGCCTGGCAGAGGGAGCTCTCTTTGTGGAGGCCGTCCCTCACACAGACATCAGCCGGAGGATCACAGCTTTCCAGTACGAGCTGGTGCCCAGTCAGGGGCCCGGGGCACACATGTACCCATACCTGCACCCTGGTTTAGGTAAGAGAATGAATGCACCCATTCTGGAAGAGATACAGTCTTATTTGTGTTGGATCCTTGTGTGTTATGCAGTTGGCATTAATAAGTGTGGAGACTTGTGCCACCAGAAAAAAAGTCCTTTTCTGCTGAGCTTTGTCTTGTGACTTTGTGTGAACAGTGATACTGAATGTTGTTTTTCTACTTGCCTCGTGAAAGTCTTTGTAAGTTGCAACCAACCCCTACCACAAATATACAGACTGATTTGGTGAATTCTAGATATTTTTTCCATTTTTATGAAGTTGTAAACTGGAGCTTTTGAAAATGGATCCAGTTTCTAAATCCAGTTTTCTAAAAGTTTGAAATTCATTCCATTCACTATCTGTTGTTGGAAAATCATATCTAGAAGGTAAATTATAAGGGAATGGGAGGAACATGATTCAAAAATGGCATTGCATTATAAATGCCACTGAGCCGCCGATTCTCAAGTGTTGGATCCAGTGTTGGAAAATAACTAAGTACATTTACTCAAGTACAACTTAAAGATTCTTGTTCTTGAGTATTTCCATTTCATTTACCTGACAGCTTAGTTATTAGTTACTTTTCACATAACATTTTACATACAAAACATATGAACAGCTTATTAGATACGACGCGCTGTTAACAGATTAAACTACCCAAAAATATGTGAACTAGTCAAAATTCCCTCCACATTTACCAACTACAACATGAAAGTACCGCTTACATATTAATACATTAATAATGATCCAATGGTACATTTATATTAGATTGATAGGGGCCATTCTGCATAATTAGTACTTTTACTTTTGATGCTTGAAGTTTATTTCCTTGCTAATACTTTTACACAAGTACAACTTTGAATGCAGGACCTTTTTACTTTAAATCATTTGAATGCTTCTTCTAGCACTGGTTGAATGAACCAACAAGCAAATGTTTCCAAAACCGCTCATGTTTGCAACTTCATAATCACCAGAAGAACTTAAAAAAGAAAAAGAAAAGTCAAAATATTCTCACATATTACGTTTCTAACATATTAACTGTGTCAAGTCAGTTTCAGTTCTCTTGAAGTTGTTTTCCACACTGTCTGTTTTTGTGTAAATTGATTTAATTGGTTTAAAAGGGTCTGTTAAACTCGTCATACCTGACACAGGCCGCCTTCTCTCTGACATAAAGTGAAGGTGGCGAAAAGCCACGTTACTGTTTCACCCCTGTTTCTTTATCTCGCCGCCATGCTCTGATGCTCCGTCCTCCCCCCACTTCCTCACTCCCACACACCCTTGTCTCAGCCAGACTTATGAAAACAAGCAGGCCAATCAAAAGGTCCCGTTAGGGTCAAGCACAAGGGTCAGCCAATCGTCTCTCAACTGTCAATCAAGAACAGACCCCCCCCTCCACAAAGCAGTGAATTTTGGGTAGCCCACCCGTATAAAGTGGTAGAAGGGAGGGACGGTAGGTGGAGAGGAAGGCTGGACTTCTTTTCTAATGAGACAGAAGAAAGCCTGTCTGTTTGTCTGTCTGTGTGTCTGGACGTTTTATAGCTGTTTTTATAGCTGACAGGGTCAAGGGGTAATTCTGTGATTACGTCTCCCTCACCTGCTGTTCTCATTCACATACTCTCTTGATGTCTGTCTGGTCTCGTAAGCCCCGGGAAATAGACTAATCATTACTCACAGGATTATATAAAGCTAATGAGAAAAGAAAATGAAACATGAAAACAAGAATATCTGTTGTTTCTAATGTTAAAGTATTTAATGTTTTCTTTTTTGTGTCTTTCATTTTAGTCACCTGTAAACCCTGCTCAGATGAAGAGGTCCTTATGGCTGTGTGTACCAGTGACTTTGGTAAATACACACAAACACTGAATACTTTGACATATTGGGAAATCAATCTCTTTCTTTCAGAGATTAAAATGAAAACAATGGATGCCGCACTCATGTCTCTACAATAAATACTGTATAAAGCTGCAGCCACAGTCAGTTAGCTTAGCTTAAAATAAAGACTAGAAACAGCTTGCATGGCTCTGTTCGAAGGAAACCAAACCAGCCTTCATGCAACTACTACTCACTAATTAACACGTTATATTTGTTTGTGTAATCAGGAAGTCACTGTTCTATTATTATACTAATCTAAGCGAACTGGCAGCTGCCTTCAGCTACATATTTAGCGTACAGACACGAGAGCTTTATCTTCTAAGCAATTTCCCCAAAAGTCAAACTATTATTCAGATGCAAGACTGTGTAACTTGTGCTGTGACTTTACACTCACAAAGGGCCAGTGACAGGATGATAGCCAGTTTCCCACGTTTCTTTGGAGTGAGTTTCTTTATACGTTATCATCGATGATCTGACTGAGCTAAAACATTATGTAACAGTAACAGTAAAGTGGAGCTAGAAAGTCAGCAACTGACTCAGTAACACAACAGTATCTGTTTGCTAACATTAGCCACCGTTAGCTACTGGTCATACCAGACCAAGTAAGGCTGTAGCAGCAAAACCCTTGAGTGTGTTGAATTGAGTTAGGGTTTTATTCTTTATTAATTAAACTTTTAAATTGTAAGTGCCAGGTTGTGTTATGTCCATTTTCAACAGTTACATAGTCATACACTTTAATTTTAGCTATCCTTGATTCATTTGATCTAATCTCCTTCTCTTTATCGGTGCTGTTCCTGTCTCTGTAGCCGGCAGTGGCAGCTTTCGAGATGTGGCATCAGGTACTAACGGCCGCTCCCCGGTTGTGCTGAGTCGGCTGTTCCGTCAGAAGAACAGGATATTTGCCTGGAGTGGAGCCAGAGGGCGGCGTTGGAGTGGACGTATCAATGTTCCTGCACAGTGCGGTGTGCATCCTAGAGGGGATGAGTACCTTTTGACTGGTTCTGTTCATTTTGGAGAAGCCTGGCTTGGCTGTGCGCCCCGCTACAAGGACTTCCTGAAGTTGTACACCAGAGCAGAGAGAGCAGGAACAAACCCTTGCCAAATAGACACAGACTGAGAAATCTATTCATCTCTTCTGGGTAAAACAGGGTGGGGTGACTCTCAAAAAGGTCAGCGAGTAAGGCACAAAGAGGAACCGAGAGATGAATAGACTTATGGCCATCATTAAAGGCTACTTTCTGCAGACTCTTCTCAGTGATGTGCAACTTATTGTTGCCTTGACAATTGGACAGTTTGAACATTTTAGTAGCCAACATGCTGTCTGAACTAAAATGTCCCCATTTAACTGTATTTGTATGCTGTATTCTGTATGTGTAAATGTGTTTGTGAATGACTGAGGCAGCAAATGAATGAATGATGAGCTTAAATTAATTTTGTTTCTAACTGGTTAAAGTTTTTAATCTCATGACGATACCGCTCGTGTGATCATTCTTGAAATGAAAGTTTGCTTTGTAAAAAGCTTTCTGTAAAATTTAGGAGTCTTCTGACAGAAGTGTACAGTATGCAGCTCTGTGAGTCTTCATGTACTAAGTGTGTGTGTGTTTTGCTAATGAGTTCAAATGGTCTATATATTTGCAGAAAATAAAAAGCCATTCTTCAGCTTGTCTTTCTGTTTAATTTAAGATTTTTCTCTGCAGTAGTAGTAGAACTACTTCTCTGTAAGTGAGCCAGTATGAGCTGTATCTCCTGATATAGGGACCCTGCATTATATATTATTAACAAACCTGTCCCTCTGTGTCACATACTGTATGGCACACTGAGGCTCATTGAGGTTGAGGTGCAGATAATTAGAAACAAATGACAAGTGAAGTTAATAGGACCAAAAAACGAAGGACCAAAAGTTACCAGCCTCTGTTGGCCCACATGGATGCAGACAAAGAGATATTGTCCACCTAACTACCCACAAGAAAAAACCATTATGAGTGTTCAGTGACCATTAGCTGGCAGTAGAGCAGCAGTGCGTCACTGCTGGCGTAGCTACCCCTGTGGAGCTTTGACGGGCCACTGTTCTGGTTGGCATCCTCCTTGCCTGTGTGTGTGTGTGTGTGTGTGCTTTCATAGCTGAGAGAGGGAGAACAGCAAGAGAAGCAATTATATTTTCCAACATAGCCAACCAGGTCCAGTTCAATAGCTGCAGTACTAATGTTTTTTTCCCCTTGAGTCTTATGAAAGCAGGCTCCTGAGGCCAGTACAAATGCAACTCAGACCAACATCCTTTTTATTTCATGCATTTACAGCTGTAGATACTATAAATGCACAGACTAAGTGCCAAATTAAAGGCTGCCACGTAAACATGCATGCATGTTACTGGATATCACTAGTCAGCTGGTAGCCAAGCAGCTGATGAATGAGCCACTGGTGGTGAAGCATGAATGAAGCAGCTGATTTATTGCTCCACCAGAGCTAACATAATGTTTCCTACATTTATTTCATCATCTCAGTACCGGGTGCCTAAACAGACAGCGTTTAGAGCACAGTTACAGGACATACATAGTAAACTTTTGGCAGGAGTTCAGTAAGGTAGCCTAATCACGGCTGAAGCCTGCCAGTCCAAATGAAAACTACTGTCAGATGGATAGATGGATTGAGACTATGAGAGCTTGATGGGTGGAGAGCTGAAAGAAGAGGCGGATGTGTGAATGACCTTACAGGGGTGTATGTGCACCTCTCCGTCCGCCTGCTGTCAGCAGTTGTGTGTGTGTGATGCTTTCCCTCTTTCCTCAGGAAGAGCAACAATGTTTGGAATGTCCCCTCCCACACACACCCCACCCACACAGACACCTCTATCTGCAGAGATAAACCATGTGTGCTCAACTACAGAATAAAATCAACCACTCTTTACACCTGAGGCATGCATAGTTTTCAGCAAGCAGTTGTGTGGAATTGGTGTTGTTATTTGTCTCAAGAGAATGGGAGAAATGCACAGTGTGGCTGCAAACACGCTGCCACGGACTTAAAGGGACACTCTGGCCATTTAGTAATGCACTTCTTTATAAAGATTATATAAAGAATAGTCCAAATTGAAGCAGCAGAGGCAGAGATATTCTTACTTTTGAGGGGTGAGCTGGCGAGATTGCATACAAAGTAAACAGAAAGAGAAGAGTAGGCCCGAATTTGTCCAAGGCAGCAGAAATTGACACAAAGACAATTCAGTTCACGTTTAAAATGTTACAACTTCAGATGTATTTTATGAATATGCTTCATAAATGTAGAGATACTGGAGGGAAATAACTAGAAGAAGAAGAATTATTTTGTTCTGACTTCAGTCAGAAGCTGAAGTGAACACTAACACACAGGCACACTCCCACACACACAGTTGGTGTGTTTGTTGCTAGCTAGCTTACAGCTACTGAACAGTTGGTACATCTGCTGTTTGGGCTGAATAAAACACTCTCCAGAAATTTAAAATTCACCTTGTTTTCTGTCTGAACCTAGCTTTAGTCCCTAGCATGGGTTGGGGTCCAAAACCTCTGAATCCTACACTTCCCATAATGCAGCAAATTTGCATAGTTTGTTAGACCCAAACAGGTTGTAACACAGCCTGTGATACCCAAACTGTCTTTGTATTTTCAAAGAAAATTGTAGCTGTAGATACAGCATGGTCAATTCAGTGAAGTAAAATGATTTCTCTAATGTGAATAAAGCTTACAAATCCACATGAATATGTGAGAAAGAGAAGCTTGAAGGTTTAAGATTTAAGAGGGTTGCCTATATATAACAATTCCTCCCACATACACACTAACGACTATGTGTGTGTGTGTGTGTGTGTGTGTGTGTGTGTGTGTGTGTCTTGGGTTGTAGTTTGAGAAGACCACGGCACACGCGTCCTGCACACTGCCGACATGCAAACAGGCCACACTGCAGAAACCCAACCTACCAAAGCAACACCCAAAACCCCTTGGCAACCCAACCTGGCAAAAGCTCAGCTCCCCTTGGCATCCTCGCTAATTCGGGACACACTTATCCCTCTGCACAGGGGTCTTAATGTTAACCTTTCAGTGTGAGAGTGTGTGAGATGTGGAAACAGTTTGTGCTGCAGTATGCGAGAGGCACAGCTGAGCGGTCAGCTGGAGTCGAGGGAATGGCTGAGCTCAGGGAAAATACACGCATGCTTTCACCCACATATACCACCACTGGCATTTTATATTGCCCTGGCCAGGGCGGGGTCAGTTGTTTTAAGCGGTGGTACAGTATTTCAGGTTGTAAGTATGTCTGGTTTCTACCAGGGGGCCAAAGTAAAATAAACAACAACAAAAAAACCCCTGACATTTTAAGAAGCTGTCTTTATAGAGACTGATGCACTCTATAAAGTTCAAATATAGATATTACATGAATACTATATATAATACTGACATTTTTAGTATTTCCGTCAAATGTTTGCAGTGTTGAATTGTTGCCCATTTTAAGGACCAGGGTGTAAGATTCAATGGCAGATTGCATACATACAAAATCAATGTATTAATTACTTAATATATGAAACAGGAATGATTTGATAAAAGTTACTTTTTAATAAATAGTTTTGTTATAATTCCACTTATCACTTTACAACTTCTAATATAGTTAAAGTTTTACCTGAAAAAGACCATAATTATTCTGTCATCGTACTGGAGTACTCAAACTACTATTGTGAGAGTATCTGCAGGTTGCTTGAAATATGACTTTTATAGTTAATACTGTGTAGAGTTGCTGAGTCCTTGCTATAAGGTTGGATAGAGTGCCCCTCTGTGGTGGCAATGTCAACACTTCATGACTGAACTTCTTTACCAGATTAACTAAATTGAACTGTTTGTTCTTCAAAGCCGTCAAGGATGCACAAATTGAATTCATTCCCACCTGAGTGGCATGAAGCTGAGTTTGTTTTATTTGTTCTCTCAGTCAGTTTCACTGAAAAAAAAAACACAGAAGACGTCATCTCTAAAGTGTTAACATCCTCTGCAAACTTTTCAAACGGCAGAAACCTTTCGGTTGTCGTCAGGACCCTTCCCACTCTTTTACATTCTTAAAGCAATCACATAAACAAGTCAGTCAGTACAAAGTTTAGACAGGAAATGAACCAGTCAGAAAACTTCTTTAAAGTTGATCAAACATGGGTGGTCTGAATGAGGAAGTCAAGAGGGTTCAACACTTTCATGGCATACTGAGACATACAGTGGGTGTAACATTTCAATATTAGTCATGTTTCTTTTGGAGTTTCTGTTTCTTTGCAAAAGAATGAGGATGTGGAGCCTTGTCAACCTGCTGGTTACCCTGTGCAGTAAGTTTAACAGATTACAGCTGACAGCATTTATGTCTACATACATAAGATTAATAATATATTCATACACATCACAACAGATACTACAAGAAGCTACATACAATTTTAAGACCTATTTGCACACATTTTGTTTTGTTACATTTCTTGTTGTCTTATCTTTGCAGTTTCTCTGAGCTGTGTGAGCAGTGCAGCAGGGTTGATCCATGTGTTTGGATATGAAGGGAGAGACGTTAATGTTGCTTGTCCCTATGGAGAGGGATATGAGTCTTATGAGAAGTACCTGTGCAGGAATGACTGTGGCAACGATGATGTTCTCATTACAACGACAGGAGCAGCAAAGAACAAATACTCTATCCACGATGACCAAAAGAAACGAGTCTTCACAGCGACCATCTCTGATCTGAGTAGTACAGATGCTGGCAAATACTGGTGTGGTGTGACCAGGAATGGAAAGGATATTTACACTGAAGTAAAGCTGGATGTAAAACAAGGTTTGTAAAAAATATACACAAACCCCAGAATTTCTATATTGTCATCATACTTATATTTGTTTAATTGCTACAGGTTGGACCCACAATGTATTATGGGTATGAGGCCATAATATATTAAACAATTAGACTCAGTTAATGACCTTACGAATGTGTTTATGTGGTTATTTTCTGTTTTAACTTTCCAGTGTTTGCACTGTACAGCACCTTGTAAATCTGGTTTTGAAAAGCGCTTTATAAATAAAGTGTAAAAACTGTAAACTGGAAAATGTAAATAGGTAAATGACTGTAATGTCACAACATCCAAACAGTTGTAAATAAAAAGCCAAAGAGTTCAGGCTCACCAAAATCATGAGGATGCATATTCTGAGAATCATAAATGTCTGTACAACATGTTGTGCCAATCCATATAGTAGATTGTGAGATAAAGAGAAAAGTACGAAAGTAAATATTTTAAAATCACTTTTTTTTTACATCATGATATTACTACTTTTTCTTGTCTGTGCTTGTGACAGTCTGTGATGTTGATTATTTCACTGACAGACACCTGCTGTGACCGACCCACCAAAGTCCAAGGCTATGAGACAGGTTCAGTGTCCTTCAGTTGTCCGTATGAGTCTGAGTACCTGAACAACATAAAGTACATCTGCAGAGGAAACCAGCCCTCCAGATGTCTGCAGCAGGCTTTAATCACCTCTGACCACAAACCAAACAGACAGTTCACACTGACTGATGATACAGCTTCAAGGAAATTCACAGTGACTATCACTGGTGTGACCCAAAGGGATTCTGGGTCGTACCTTTGTGGTGTCCATAGAAACACTGGCCTGGATGTTTTCTCTGCTGTTGAGCTGGAAGTCAAAGGTGATTCATCATAGCTCTATCTCATCATATTGCAGTGAACCATTAATTTCCTACAGTATGTAAATCAACTAGAAAACTGTTTTAATGAGAAAAAAAGATATTAAAAGTTTGATTTTAAACTTGTATAATTTGTCAAAATGTAATATTTGGAGGAAAGTCCCCATGCACATCCATTTCTAATGTGATCGTAGGCTCAAATCTCCTTCTGTTTGACAGAGTGGTGCTGTGTGAAATCAAGTGAACTGAGCGGCATTGTGGGACATCCAGTAACCATGCAGTGTCCCTATCCACCACAACACAAGAATAACAGGAAGTTCCTCTGTAAGGGAGACCGCCACATCAGCTGTACAGACATGGTGACGAGTCAAAGCAGGTTCACGCTGCAAGATGACGTCTCTTCCAGCTCTTTCTTGGTGATGATCACAGAGCTGAAAGCAGGTGATGCTGGGACATACTGGTGTGGTTCAGACTCACAGTGGACTACTGCTAACTACACCAAGATTCATCTGTCAGTAGGTAAGGTTATAAAAAGAGCAGCAGATGGAGAATACAGTTCAATATCTGACAGTAAAAATGAATGTAATCCTGCTGTATAAACTTTGTGTCCTGATTTTTTTTAATATATTTTTTTTTTTTTTTTTTTTTTTTTTTTTTTTTTTTTTTTTTTTTTTTTTTTTTTTTTTTTTTTTGTGTGTTATTGTTCTTCTACCCTGCAATTTCCCTATCTATCTATCTATCTATCTATCTATCTATCTATCTATCTATCTATCTATCTATCTATCTATCTATCTATCTATCTATCTATCTATCTATCTATCTATCTATCTATCTATCTATCTATCTATCTATCTCATGTCACTGTGACATAATGTGGATTATTGCATAGAATAATGCAGTACTTCACTCTCCCTCAAATACCAGCCAGGTTATGAAATATACTTCATCTAAACAATATGTTACAGACTAAGATAACCATGTACATTAGATTGTAACATGCATAATATAATGGAAGTATATATGACTTTTCTTTCCTTTGATATCAGCATTATACGGCCGCCCTACTCTCTAAATATCAGCATCGGCATCAGCCATCGAGAAATCCATATCAATCAATAGACAATAGTTTAGAGGTATCTCTGTCTGGGCCAAGTTGGTAGACTGACTGACTGACTGACTGACTGACTGACCAACAAACATTGCTGTCCTCAGAGAGCCACTGCTAGCGAGGATAAAAATAAGAATATTTGTTCTAAGAAACTTTCTCTCTGACAGTCTTTCCACCGCAGACCAGCACTGTGACCTCAATCATCACTGTGGAGGAACCTGTAGGATCGCCATCAACACATATCCCTGGCAAACATATCAAGGGTACGTGTGTGTGTGTGTGTGTTTGTGAGTGTATCTGTGTGTGTGTGTGTGTGTGTGTGTGTGTGTGTGTGTGTGTGTGTGTGTGAGCATGTGGTCAAGCAACATGTTAAAACACACACTGAGCAATTATGAAAAGTGAACATGAACACATCAAAGGCCACAGTTCAGATATCTGGTGTTACTTCTGTAGTTTAGTCTTTGATTATGATGAGAGATATGTGAGAGCTGTGCTGCTGATGTATGTGTTCAGGAAGTATATATTTTTACTCTGTTCTGTTTTGTTTTTTTTCAGATGTAACACTCTTTTACTCTGTGGTTTTCATTGTGCCCGCTGTGCTGCTCATACTGGTGATTGCTCTGGTCATAGTTTATAAATACAAATGTCACAAAGTGCGAGGTATGTTTTACAGTACCAATGTACAGACCCCTGCACACATTCACACACACATATGCCTGCAAACAAAAAGTGTGACCATTTCTTTTTCTGTTTGCAGGAGATGAAGCTGTCAACATGAACAGAAACAAAACCAAGGCAGCAGAGGCAGAGGAAGTGATGGATGGCTCAGATGTAAGTACACTAAAGTCCAAAGCCTTCCTAATGGACACCAGAGGCTGCAATGTTCAGCACTGTCCACATTACAAACATGGGGGAGAGAACGACTTACTGATGGTTTTAGTATTAGCGGGGCTGAATATAGAAGTTTGATTTTAGGGTGGCACTACTGGAAGGTAGCAAATCTGACTGCAGTCTGCCTATTAGACTATCTTGTGAACTAATTCGACATCATAGTCTTTGAAGTGGTGGAGAAAAGCTCAGGATCTAAAACTGAAGGGGTTCTAATCATTTGAGGCCCATTAGATTTTGATATTTCTTGGGAACAAGTGGACATTTTGGACTGATGATGATATTAGAATAAAAGGTCAGGAGGTCACCAAAAACAGGAAGATTATTTCTCAGGTTGTCATGAATGTCTACAGAAAAATGTATGGCAACTTGTACTAATAATGCTGCTCACATGAGTTACTCTTGTTACCTGACAGTGGTGCTTGATAAAAGGTCTGGTGGTGACCAATATTAATTATTATTAGTAATCATTTTCCTTAATTAGTGAATGCTTACAACTAAATTTTACAGCAATCTGACTTGAGAATGGAAATATGTTTTGTTCTGGAGAAAGAAATAATCAATGAACTGATTATTAGACCATTTTCAGGCTCCACTGATGTAGTTTTTAATTATTAATGATACTATGTAAATTAATTCTGTGTAACACCATCCTCTTATCTGTTTATTTTTGTGGATTTTTTTTTAGATTTATGAAAATCAGGAAGTTTTTGTGCGCTCAGAGCACGGGACCTCCAAAGCGCAGAAGACCTGTGATGATGTAGGTGAAGATGAACAAGATTCTGTGTACCAAAACTTCTCCACAACAGATGATATCTACTGTAACCAAATTTACATTAAAGCCAAGAGATGAACAGCATGCACATCTTTAATCAAACCTTGCATTTTAGGTCTCCTTGTGCCTAAATTATCCTGTTTGTTTTGTCTCAATTAACAGCTGACCAACACATATTCACATAACTGTTGTCCAACCTTTTTATTGTCAGACTGGAAACTGCAAATAATATTATGATCATTTGCAGTTTTATTTGCTTTTACCTTTTCACTCATTATGACTGCTTATCATTCATTTAATGAAGAAATTGTCAAAAACCTTTTCAGCTAAATATAAAGTACATATGTAGCTTGCAGCCTGGCAAGATGGATTCTTGCATGATTTCTTGATCTTGTGAGTCCAGCTGCATGGCAAGGTTAATCATGGTTAGTTTGGCTGTATTGAAAGATGTTGGTTGCATTATGGGAAGTGAAAGATCTAGCATCTTTTGCTTATAACCTTGATTTATACTTGGGACTAAAAGAGAGAATATCTGTTCCTCTTCTACTTTAATCTTAACTGTGCTTTTTTCTAAACCCTTCTCTTTGATGTCCAACTTTATGGAAGCGAAATGCAAAATTGTTGAATTGCCCTTTTAAAGGACCAGTGTGTAAGATTCAGTGGCATCTAGTGGAAAAGTTGCAGATTGCAACCAACTATACCCCTCACCTTCCAAACATGTAGGAGAAACTACGGTGGCTGTGAAACTCGTGAAAAAATGCAAACAAGCCCTTGGGTTTGTCCATTCTGGGCTACTGTAGAAACATGGAGGAGTCCGTAGAACAGGACCCGCTCCCTCTGTAGATATAAAATGCTGATTCTAGGTAACAAAAACACAAATATTCTTATTTTGAGGTGATAATACACTCATGAAAACATACCTATAAATATTATAGGTATTTCTGCCAATAGATCCTCCTAAATGTTACACACTGGACCTTTGAAATAGTTTCAGTTTTCAATAAAATCAAGGAGTTAAATCATGTAAAAGTATGCATAATACTGAAATAACAGAAAGTAAAAAACAAATGTTTCATTGCTTTTATGTACCCTGTTGAAATGAATATATAATAATAAATAAAGTGATTTTAAAAGGAGTTAAAATCAATGTATTCATGACTTTAATAGCAATATGAAACAGGAATGATTTTAATCAACAGTTTTATTGATTCTCTACTGATTAAAATTCCACTCATCACTTTTTAACTTCTATTAAAGTTAAAGTTTTAACTAAATAAAGATACTGCATAACTATTCTGTTACCACAATGGAGTCCTCACACTACTACTGTGAGAGTATGTGTGAGAGAGGTTGTTGGATGAATGACTGTTATAATACTTAAAGTATTGAGCTATAAGGTTGGATAGAGTGCCCCTCTGTGATGGCAATGTGAACTTCTTTATCAAATTGACCATCTATTAACTAAAGTTTGTTCTTCAAAGCCAACAAGGATGCATACATTAAATAAATTCCCACCTGACTGAAGTGAAGGTGAGTTTGTGTTATTTGTTCCCTCAGTCACTTTCATTGACAATAAATAACTTACTTTTCCTCTATAACATAAGCAATCATAAAAAAGCAACTCATTACAAAGTTCTCACAACACATGAAATCAGCAAAACCTTCCTCACAGCAAAGAAACACCAAAAGAACAGCAAAAAGTAATACAATATTTTAACTTGTGATCCATGTGTTTGGATATGAAGGGAGAGACATTAATGTTTGTTACCAAGTCAATTCAATGTATGCATCCTTGTGGGTTTTGAAGAACAAACAGTCCAATTTAGTTAATAATTGGTCAATCTGGTAAAGAAGTTCAGTCATGAAGTGTTCACATTGCCACCACAGAGGGGCACTCTATCCAACCTTATAGCTCAATACTCAGACAAGGTCCATGGTACGTGAATTCAACTGGACAGTAAATAAACTTCTGTCCTCATCTAACATTAATCATAATATGGAATCTGCTCTGTGCTTAAATAATGCAACTCATGTTTGAACATTTACTCCTATTAGCAGCATGTCACCTTCAGAATAAAAGAGATTCAGTGCACATGAATATGTCTGAATTAAAACGCACAAGGATAGGCTTTTTTGTTTTCAAAATAAAGTTAATTCAGAGATTTAATCAAATAATACAGGTTCAAATACCCATAAATTCAAAATCTTCATAATAATATAACTTCAATCTTCTCTGTTCTCTTACCAAGCTGGATAAAAACAACAACAAATAAACTTGTAGCTGTCATTTTCCACCCTGTGTGGCACTCTTCAGCTTTCCTTGTGAAATCAACGGCTAATAACTAACGCACCAAACATTACATCACACCAACTCTACACAACACAGATTGATTCAAGTATTAACAACAAAAGTCATTAACAGTCAACAGAAGTTGTAAAGTGATTAGTGGAATTTTAACAAAACTATTGATTAAAAAGTAACATTTATCAAATTATTCCTGTTTCATAGTTTTATTAAAGTAATGAATACATTGATTTTAACTCATTTTAATACGATACATTAAAGCATTTAAAAAAACATGGATGGTCTAAATAAGGAAGTGAGAGAGTTCAACACTTGCATGACATTCTGAGACTAACAGTGGGCGTAACATTTCAATATAAGACATGTTCCCTCTAGCGTTTATGTGGCTCAGTAGAATGAAGATGTGGAGCCTTGACAACCTGCTGGTTACCCTGTGCAGTAAGTTTCATAGATTACAGCTGACAGCATTTATGTCTACATACATAAGATTAATAATGTATTCATACACATCACAACAGATACAAATACATACATACTGTTTATGTTCAGTGACAAATTGAAAAGAAGCTACTTTCACTTTAATTGCAATTTTAATGTTTTGTTACATTTCTTGTTTGCAGTTTCTCTGAGCTGTGTGAGCAGTGCAGCAGAGTTGAACCATTTGTTCGGATATGAAGGGAGAGACGTTAATGTTGCTTGTCCCTATGGAGAGGGATATGAGTCTTATGAGAAGTACCTGTGCAGGAATGCCTGTGGCAGCGATGATGTTCTCATTACAACGTCAGGAGCAGCAAAGAACAAATACTCTATCCACGATGACCAAAAGAAACGAGTCTTCACAGCGACCATCTCTGATCTTAAGTTTATGGATGCTGGCAAATACTGGTGTGGGGTGACTAAAACTGGTTATGATATCTACCCTGCTGAAGTAAAAGTGGAAGTTAAACAAGGTCTGTAAAAAAATACACAAACCCCAGAATTTCTATATTGTCATCATACTTATATAACCCTGTAGTTTATTTGCTACAGGTTGGACCCACAATGTATTATGGGTATGAGGCCATAATATATTAAACAATTCAACTCAGTTAATGACTTTAAGAAGCTGCAAAAACATAACTGTTTTGTAAATATTTTTTCCTGTAAGGCATTTTAGTCGTCTGTATATTTGTTAGTGGTTTTTACAGTTTTTTCATATTGTTATTTCCTGCTTTAACGTTTGAGTGTTTGCGCTGTACAGCACCTTGTAACTCTGGTGTTTTTAAAACTAAATATTACTTAGTTACTGATTTACAGTGGTGAAATGTAACTAAGTACATTTACTCAAGTACTGTAAATAAGTACAATTTGAGGTACTGTATGTATTTTCTGTATATTTCCCTTTTCTGCTACTTTATACTTCTACTCCACCACATTTCAGTGGCATATATTGCATATTTTTACTGCATGACATTTTTCTGACAGATATAGTTACTTTGTGGATTCACTTTTAGATAAAAGACACATCATCATATATATATAGATTATACTACCAGTAAGTAAAATATTTTAAAAGAATAGCATTACTACCACATTGGTCAACTATTATGCTGTTTACATGTAAATGAATAAGTAACAATAATCCAGTAGTAACGCAACACTGAGTGGGTTCGTTCTTTCTGCATGATCAGTTAACAATACTGTATTTTACAAAAGTAAACATTTTAAATCACTTTTTTTTACATCGTGATATTGTTACTTTTCTTGTCTGTGCTTGTGACAGTCTGTGATGTTGATTATTTTACTGACAGACACCTGCTGTGACCGATCCACCAAAGTCCAAGGTTATGAGACAGGTTCAGTGTCCTTAAGTTGTCCGTATGAGTCTGAGTACCTGAACAATATAAAGTACATCTGCAGAGGAAACCAGCCCTCCACATGTCTGCAGCAGGCTTTAATCACCTCTGACCACAAACGAAACAGACAGTTCACACTGACTGATGATACAGCTTCAAGGAAATTCACAGTGACTATCACTGGTGTGACCCAAAGGGATTCTGGGTCGTACCTTTGTGGTGTCCATAGAAACACTGGCCTGGATGTTTTCTCTGCTGTTGAGCTGGAAGTCAATGGTGAGTCATCATAGCTCTATCTCATCATATTGCAGTGAACCATTCATTTCCTACAGTATGTAAATCAGCAAGAAAACTGTTTTAATGAGAAAAAAGATATTAAAAGTTTGATTTTAAATCATTTGTCAAAATGTATCAAATATTTGGAGGAAAGTCCCCATGCACATCCATTTCTAATGTGATCGTAGGCTCAAATCTCCTTGTTTGACAGAGTGGTGCTGTGTGAAAACAAGCAAACTGAGCGGCATTGTAGGACATCCAGTAACCATGCAGTGTCCCTATCCACCACAACACAAGAATAACAGGAAGTTCCTCTGTAAGGGAGACCATCACATCAGCTGTACAGACATGGTGACGAGTCAAACCAGGTTCACGCTGCAAGATGACGTCTCTTCCAGCTCTTTCTTGGTGATGATCACAGAGCTGAAAGCAGGTGATGCTGGGACATACTGGTGTGGTTCAGACTCACAGTGGACTACTGCTAACTACACCAAGATTCATCTGTCAGTAGGTAAGGTTATAAAAAGAGCAGCAGATGGAGAATACAGTTCAATATCTGACAGTAAAAATGAATGTAATCCTGCTGTATAAACTTTGTGTCCTGCAGGTTCAGTTAGCACAGGTCTACATCATGTGACATAATGTGTTTAATGCATCTTCCTCTTTTCTGACCATCAATCAATAGCAGAACTGACAGTTAATCTAGTCTAAAATGTTACTGGCTAGTATCACATATATTATGTTATGATGAACAGAATAATGCGGTACTCCGCTCTCCCTCAAATAGCAGTCACATTACAAAATCTACAACTTGTTAAAAACACATTGACCTTTTTTTTTCTATTTTATGAAGTCATAAAATTCCCCCTAAACAATATGTTACAGACTAAGATAACCTTGTACATTAGATTGTAACATGCATGGAATAATGGAATTATACATGACTTTTCTCTGTTTTGATATCAGCATTATACAGCCGCCCTACTCTCTAAATATTGGCGTCTGCATCAGCCATGGAGAAACCCGTATAAATAATCTGTGCCAAATTTTAAATAGTTTTAGAGGTATTTCTGTCTGGACAGAGTTGGTAGACTGACTGACTGACCAACAAACATTACTCATACAACTTACTAGTACCAGTTATAAAAGAATATAATATATATATATAAATATATATATAAAAGAAATTTTCTCTCTGACAGACACACCACAGACCAACAGTGTGACGTCAACCATCACTGTGGAGGAATCTGCCAGATCGCCATCAATGCATATCCCTGGCAAAGATGTCATGGGTACATCATGTGGTCAAGCAACTTGCTAAAACACACACAGAGCAATTATGAAAAGTGAACATGAACACATCAAAGGCCACAGTTCAGATGCTGTTGTATGTTTTCAAGAAGTGTACATTTTCTCTCTGTTCTGTTTTCAGATGCAACCCTCTTTCACTCTGTGGTTTTCATTGTGCCCGCTGTGCTGCTCATACTGGTGATTGCTCTGGTTGTAGTTTATAAATACAAATGTCACAAAGTGCGAGGTATGTTTTACAGTACCAATGTACAGACCCCTGCACACATTCAAACACACATATGCCTGCAAACAAATTGTGTGACCATTTCTTTTGCTGTTTGCAGGAGATGAAGCTGTCATCATGAACAGAAACAAAACCAAGGCAGCAGAGGCAGAGGACGTGATCGATCTCCCAGATGTAAGAATACAAAAGTTCAAAGGTTTCCTAGAGGACACAACTTTCACAGCAACCTGATCTGAGAATGGAAAGATGTTTGGCTCTGGACCAAAGTATCTAAAGAGCTAAAGAAATTACCAACTAACTGCTTATTAGACCATTTTCAGGCTGTGTTGAATGTCGTTTTTAATTATTAATGATACTGTAAGTGATTTTGAAAGATTTGCATAATAACATGAATTCTGTGTAATACCGTCCTCTTATCTGTTTATTTTTGTGGATTCTTTTTTTAGATTTATGAAAATCAGGAAGTTGTTGTTGTGCACTCAGAGCACGGGACCTCCAAAGCGCAGAAGACCTGTGATGATGTAGGTGAAGATGAACAAGATTCTGTGTACCAAAACTTCTCCACAACAGATGATATCTACTGTAACCAATGAAATACACATTAAAGCCAAGAGATGAACAGCATGCACATCTGTGATCAAACTTTCAATCTTTTTTGTTTTGTCTCAATTAACAGTAGTAATAATATGATTATTTGCACATATTTGCATTTACCTTTACACTCATTCTGACTGCTTATCATTAGTTTTATCTTGTAAGAAATATTTCAGCTAAATATAACATATATATATATATATATATATATATATAATAAAGTACCTTTTAATACAAATTAATAAATAAACAAAGAAGCTAACAACAGCCAGTCTTTACAGACCATAGTCTTTATTGAAATAACACACTTTGTTTTGCAGCATATGAATGGGATATGAAAACAACATTGCCATATTTTCAGTGACTGTCAGTTCCAGAAATGTGATGAACTGAAAAAAGTGGTGGGAATTTACTAAGTAGGTTTTCTCAAGTATTGTACTTAAGTACAAACTTTGATATACTTGTGCTTACAAAAAGCAACATTGTGTAACTTTTCCACCGTAAAATAACAGCTTCAAAATCATTTTGATGCTACACTGACTTGTAACAGGGTGAATGGTCTGTTATTCCCACTCTGTGCCTTCTACGTCTGTTCTTGCACTGTGTAACTTTGGAGTCCTGGTCGGGAGAAGTGTGTAACATATCACAGCAATAAAGCCGCTTTCAGACTGCAGGCCAAAGTGGCTGAAATTAAATTTTTTGCTCATATGTGGCTGAGATTTGATTTTGTTGTACAGATAAAGGTCAGATTTTTTTGCAATGTGATCTCAGTGTGAACAGTGTGTTCTTTCAGCAGCAGGGGGAAAGGCTTCTGTTGTACCCTCACTGCACTGGTAGTTAAGTGAGCATGAAGAGTGAGCTGGTATTCAAAGCTAACTGAGTTAATCATGGAGTATAGTTGTCAGACTTTTCGTGACGCTGGAAACACAAATAGGGGGCTCGGGCTATACTCTATACGGAAGTGTATTGCATTCACTTGAAATGTAAGTTTTTGGTTTGTTTTTCGGAGTAATTATTTGTGTTTTTCAGAGTCATTTTTTTCAGATTTTCTGAATAATTTGAAACAATCAATGCATTAATTCCTTTATTGAGAGCTCGATTTAACGGAAACAAACATAACCGGCTTGTTTAGTTCAGTCAAGTTTTACTTTGATCTGGGTTTAAGACACTGGGAGATAGTCCTGTCTTTAAGTCATATAGATGGTATTATCATTAGTTTGTCGACTCTACGCAGGCACCTGAGGACTTTGCGGTTGTTCAGAAGGAAAGCCCATTCAGATCAGCAATGTACGGTAGATAGTTGAAGATGGGGCATATATGTGCGGGCAGGAGTCACCATAGGTCCATGGGAGCCACTTGCAGGTTGGAGGTTCTCGCGGGAGTTCGAAGTATCTCGATAATTCAGAAAAAAAAATACTCCAAAAAACAGGGGGAAAAAAATTACCACGAAAAACAGAAAAAATTACTCTGTAAAACAGGAAAAGAATTACTCAGAAAAAAAGGGGGGAAAAAAGCAGTCAGAAAAACAGAAAAAACTATTCAAAAAAACAAACCAAAAAATAAATTACCCAGAAAAACCGGAGTTTTTTTTTTTTTTTTTAAGTGAATACAATACGCTTCCGTATGAAACACAGATCTGTTTGTCAACAATATATAGTATATGCTAATGGAGGTAGTGCAAATGTAAGATGATTAACAACATGAACATTAAGTATGCTTGAATTAAAGTCAGTCTCAAGGTGGGGCCAGAGGAAAAGTCAGGGGATAACCAACATCATTTGGATTCATCCTCTGTTAATTCATAGCAATCCATCCAATAGTTGTAAAGGTATTTCAGTGTGGACCGAGTTCGTATACTGACTGACTGACTAACTGACTGACTGACCAACAAACATTGCTGTCCTCAGAGTACCACTGCTAGCAGGAATAAAAATAAGAATATTTGTCCTAAGAAACTTTCTCTCTGACAGTCCACCGCAGACCAGCACTGTGACCTCAATCATCACTGTGGAGGAACCTGTCTGATCGCCATATCAAACATATTAAGGGTACGTGTGTGTGTGTGTGTGTTTGTGTGTGTGTGTGTGTGTGTGTGTGTGTGTGTGTGTGAGCATGTGGTTAAGCAACATGTTAAAACACACACTGAGCGATTATGAAAAGTGAACATGAACACATCAAAGGCCACAGTTCAAATATCTGGTGTTACTTCTGTAGTTTAGTCTTTGATTATGATGAGAGATATGTGAGAGCTGTGCTGCTGATGTATGTGTTCAGGAAGTATATATTTTTACTCTGTTCTGTTTTGTTTTTTTTCAGATGCAACACTCTTTTACTCTGTGGTTTTCATTGTGCCCGCTGTGCTGCTCATACTGGTGATTGCTCTGGTCATAGTTTATAAATACAAATGTCACAAAGTGCAAGGTATGTTTTACAGTACCAATGTACAGACCCCTGCACACATTCACACACACATATGCCTGCAAACAAAAAGTGTGACCATTTCTTTTTCTGTTTGCAGGAGATGAAGCTGTCAACATGAACAGAAACAAAACCAAGGCAGCAGAGGCAGAGGAAGTGATGGATGGCTCAGATGTAAGTACACTAAAGTCCAAAGCCTTCCTAATGGACACCAGAGGCTGCAATGTTCAGCAGTGTCCACATTACAAACATGGGGGAGAGAACGACTTACTGATGGTTTTAGTATTAGCGGGGCTGAATATAGAAGTTTGATTTTAGGGTGGCACTACTGGAAGGTAGCAAATCTGACTGCAGTCTGCCTATTAGACTATCTTGTGAACTAATTCAACATCATAGTCTTTGAAGTGGTGGAGAAAAGCTCAGGATCTAAAACTGAAGGGGTTCTAATCATTTGAGGCCCATTAGATTTTGATATTTCTTGGGAACAAGTGGACATTTTGGACTGATGATGATATTAGAATAAAAGGTCAGGAGGTCACCAAAAACAGGAAGATTATTTCTCAGGTTGTCATGAATGTCTATAGAAAAATGTATGGCAACTTGTACTAATAATGCTGCTCACATGAGTTACTCTTGTTACCTGACAGTGGTGCTTGATAAAAGGTCTGGTGGTGACCAATATTAATTATTATTAGTAATCATTTTCCTTAATTAGTGAATGCTTACAACTAAATTTTACAGCAATCTGACTTGAGAATGGAAATATGTTTTGTTCTGGAGAAAGAAATAATCAATGAACTGATTATTAGACCATTTTCAGGCTCCACTGATGTAGTTTTTAATTATTAATGATACTATGTAAATTAATTCTGTGTAACACCGTCTTCTTATCTGTTTATTTTTGTGGATTTTTTTTTAGATTTATGAAAATCAGGAAGTTTTTGTGCGCTCAGAGCACGGGACCTCCAAAGCGCAGAAGACCTGTGATGATGTAGGTGAAGATGAACAAGATTCTGTGTACCAAAACTTCTCCACAACAGATGATATCTACTGTAACCAATGAAATACACATTAAAGCCAAGAGATGAACAGCATGCACATCTGTGATCAAACTTTCAATCTTTTTTGTTTTGTCTCAATTAACAGTAGTAATAATATGATTATTTGCACATATTTGCATTTACCTTTACACTCATTCTGACTGCTTATCATTAGTTTTATCTTGTAAGAAATATTTCAGCTAAATATAACATATATATATATATATATATATATATATATATATATATATATATATATATATATGTACCTTTTTAATACAAATTAATAAATAAACAAAGAAGCTAACAACAGCCAGTCTTTACAGACCATAGTCTTTATTGAAATAACACACTTTGTTTTGCAGCATATGAATGGGATATGAAAACAACATCGCCATATTTTCAGTGACTGTCAGTTCCAGAAATGTGATGAACTGAAAAAAAGTGGTGGGAATTTACTAAGTAGGTTTTCTCAAGTATTGTACTTAAGTACAAACTTTGATATACTTGTGCTTACAAAAAGCAACATTGTGTAACTTTTCCACCGTAAAATAACAGCTTCAAAATCATTTTGATGCTACACTGACTTGTAACAGGGTGAATGGTCTGTTATTCCCACTCTGTGCCTTCTACGTCTGTTCTTGCACTGTGTAACTTTGGAGTCCTGGTCGGGAGAAGTGTGTAACATATCACAGCAATAAAGCCGCTTTCAGACTGCAGGCCAAAGTGGCCCATATTAATTTTTTTGCTCATATGTGGCCCGGATGTGATTTTGTTGTACAGATAAAGGTCCGAATTTTTTGCAATGTGATCTCAATGTGAACAATGTGTTCTTTCAGCAGCAGGGGGAAAGGCTTCTGTTGTACCCTCACTGCACTGGTAGTTAAGTGAGCATGAAGAGTGAGCTGGTATTCAGAGCTAACTGAGTTATCATGAAGTATAGCTTTCAGACTTTTCGTGTCGACACTGGAAACACAAGTAGTTGGCTCGGGCTTCATATACTCTAGAAGCACATTCACGGTTGTTTCTGTGTGGTACCTGTGTTGTAGCTAAGCGGCTCAGAGAGGCCTCTTTCAGCAGCAGGGGGAAAGGCTTCTGTTGTACCCTCACTGCACTGGTAGTTAAGTGAGCATGAAGAGTGAGCTGGTATTCAAAGCTAACTGAGTTAATCATGGAGTATAGTTGTCAGACTTTTCGTGACGCTGGAAACACAAATAGGGGGCTCGGGCTATACTCTATACGGAAGTGTATTGCATTCACTTGAAATGTAAGTTTTTGGTTTGTTTTTCGGAGTAATTATTTGTGTTTTTCAGAGTCATTTTTTTCAGATTTTCTGAATAATTTGAAACAATCAATGCATTAATTCCTTTATTGAGAGCTCGATTTAACGGAAACAAACATAACCGGCTTGTTTAGTTCAGTCAAGTTTTACTTTGATCTGGGTTTAAGACACTGGGAGATAGTCCTGTCTTTAAGTCATATAGATGGTATTATCATTAGTTTGTCGACTCTACGCAGGCACCTGAGGACTTTGCGGTTGTTCAGAAGGAAAGCCCATTCAGATCAGCAATGTACGGTAGATAGTTGAACATGGGGCATATATGTGCGGGCAGGAGTCACCATAGGTCCATGGGAGCCACTTGCAGGTTGGAGGTTCTCGCGGGAGTTCCAGACCAGCACTGTGACCTCAATCATCACTGTGGAGGAACCTGTCTGATCGCCATATCAAACATATTAAGGGTACGTGTGTGTGTGTGTGTGTTTGTGTGTGTGTGTGTGTGTGTGTGTGTGTGTGTGAGCATGTGGTTAAGCAACATGTTAAAACACACACTGAGCGATTATGAAAAGTGAACATGAACACATCAAAGGCCACAGTTCAGATATCTGGTGTTACTTCTGTAGTTTAGTCTTTGATTATGATGAGAGATATGTGAGAGCTGTGCTGCTGATGTATGTGTTCAGGAAGTATATATTTTTACTCTGTTCTGTTTTGTTTTTTTTCAGATGCAACACTCTTTTACTCTGTGGTTTTCATTGTGCCCGCTGTGCTGCTCATACTGGTGATTGCTCTGGTCATAGTTTATAAATACAAATGTCACAAAGTGCGAGGTATGTTTTACAGTACCAATGTATAGACCCCTGCACACATTCACACACACATATGCCTGCAAACAAAAAGTGTGACCATTTCTTTTTCTGTTTGCAGGAGATGAAGCTGTCAACATGAACAGAAACAAAACCAAGGCAGCAGAGGCAGAGGAAGTGATGGATGGCTCAGATGTAAGTACACTAAAGTCCAAAGCCTTCCTAATGGACACCAGAGGCTGCAATGTTCAGCAGTGTCCACATTACAAACATGGGGGAGAGAACGACTTACTGATGGTTTTAGTATTAGCGGGGCTGAATATAGAAGTTTGATTTTAGGGTGGCACTACTGGAAGGTAGCAAATCTGACTGCAGTCTGCCTATTAGACTATCTTGTGAACTAATTCGACATCATAGTCTTTGAAGTGGTGGAGAAAAGCTCAGGATCTAAAACTGAAGGGGTTGTAATCATTTGAGGCCCATTAGATTTTGATATTTCTTGGGAACAAGTGGACATTTTGGACTGATGATGATATTAGAATAAAAGGTCAGGAGGTCACCAAAAACAGGAAGATTATTTCTCAGGTTGTCATGAATGTCTACAGAAAAATGTATGGCAACTTGTACTAATAATGCTGCTCACATGAGTTCATCTTGTTACCTGACAGTGGTGCTTGATAAAAGGTCTGGTGGTGACCAATATTCATTATTATTAGTAATCATTTTCCTTAGTTAGTGAATGCTTACAACAAAATTTTACAGCAATCTGACCTGAGAATGGAAATATGTTTTGTTCTGGAGAAAGAAATAATCAATGAACTGATTATTAGACCATTTTCAGGCTCCACTGATGTAGTTTTTAATTATTAATGATACTATGTAAATTAATTCTGTGTAACACCGTCTTCTTATCTGTTTATTTTTGTGGATCTTTTTTTAGATTTATGAAAATCAGGAAGTTGTTGTGCGCTCAGAGCACGGGACCTCCAAAGCGCAGAAGATCTGTGATGATGTAGGTGAAGATGAACAAGATTCTGTGTACCAAAACTTCTCCACAACAGATGATATCTACTGTAACCAAATTTACATTAAAGCCAAGAGATGAACAGCATGCACATCTTTAATCAAACCTTGCATTTTAGGTCTCCTTGTGCCTAAATTATCCTGTTTGTTTTGTCTCAATTAACAGCTGACCAACACATATTCACATAACTGTGGTCCAACCTTTTTATTGTCAGACTGGAAATAATAATAATAATAATAATATGATTATTTGCAGTTTTATTTGCTTTTACCTTTTCACTCATTATGACTGCTTATCATTCATTTAATAAACTGTTGAACACACCTGCACTACTTGTAAGAAATTATCAAAAACCTTTTCAGCTAAATATAAAGTACATATGTAGCTTGCAGCCTGGCAAGATGGATTCTTGCATGATTTCTTGATCTTGTGAGTCCAGCTGCATGGCAAGGTTAATCATGGTTAGTTTGGCTGTATTGAAAGATGTTGGTTGAATTATGGGAAATGAAAGATCTAGCATATTTTGCTTATAACCTTGATTTATACTTGGGACTAAAAGAGAGAATATCTGTTCCTCTTCTACTTTAATCTTAACTGTGCTTTTTTCTAAACCCTTCTCTTTGATGTCCAACTTTATGGAAGCGAAATGCAAAATTGTTGAATTGCCCTTTTAAAGGACCAGTGTGTAAGATTCAGTGGCATCTAGTGGGGTAGTTGCAGATTGCAACCAACTATACCCCTCACCTTCCAAACATGTAGGAGAAACTATGGTGGCTGTGAAACTCGTGAAAAATGCAAACAAGCCCTTGGGTTTGTCCGTTCTGGGCTACTGTAGAAACATGGAGGAGTCCGTAGAACAGGACCCGCTCCCTCTGTAGATATAAAATGCTGATTCTAGGTAACAAAAACACAAATATTCTTATTTTGAGGTGATAATACACTCATGAAAACATACCTATAAATATTATAGGTATTTCTGCCAATAGATCCTCCTAAATGTTACACACTGGACCTTTGAAATAGTTTCAGTTTTCAATAAAATCAAGGAGTTAAATCATGTAAAAGTATGCATAATACTGAAATAACAGAAAGTAAAAAACTAATGTTTCATTGCTTTTATGTACCCTGTTGAAATGAATATATAATAATAAATAAAGTGATTTTAAAAGGAGTTAAAATCAATGTATTCATGACTTTAATAGCAATATGAAACAGGAATGATTTTAATCAACAGTTTTATTGATTCTCTACTGATTAAAATTCCACTCATCACTTTTTAACTTCTATTAAAGTTAAAGTTTTAACTAAATAAAAGATACTGCATAACTATTCTGTTACCACAATGGAGTCCTCACACTACTACTGTGAGAGTATGTGTGAGAGAGGTTGTTGGATGAATGACTGTTATAATACTTAAAGTATTGAGCTATAAGGTTGGATAGAGTGCCCCTCTGTGATGGCAATGTGAACTTCTTTATCAAATTGACCATCTATTAACTAAAGTTTGTTCTTCAAAGCCAACAAGGATGCATACATTAAATAAATTCCCACCTGACTGAAGTGAAGGTGAGTTTGTGTTATTTGTTCCCTCAGTCACTTTCATTGACAATAAATAACTTACTTTTCCTCTATAACATAAGCAATCATAAAAAAAGCAACTCATTACAAAGTTCTCACAACACATGAAATCAGCAAAACCTTCCTCACAGCAAAGAAACACCAAAAGAACAGCAAAAAGTTACAATATTTTAACTTGTGATCCATGTGTTTGGATATGAAGGGAGAGACATTAATGTTTGTTACCAAGTCAATTCAATGTATGCATCCTTGTGGGTTTTGAAGAACAAACAGTCCAATTTGGTTAATAGTTGGTCAATCTGGTAAAGAAGTTCAGTCATGAAGTGTTCACATTGCCACCACAGAGGGGCACTCTATCCAACCTTATAGCTCAATACTCAGACAAGGTCCATGGTACATGAATTCAACTGGACAGTAAATAAACTTCTGTCCTCATCTAACATTAATCATAATATGGAATCTGCTCTGTGCTTAAATAATGCAACTCATGTTTGAACATTTACTCCTATTAGCAGCATGTCACTTTCAGAATAAAAGAGATTCGGTGCACATAAATATGTCTGAATTAAAACATACAAGGATAGGCTTTTTTGTTTTCAAAATAAAGTTAATTCAGAGATTTAATCAAATAATACAGGTTCAAATACCCATAAATTCAAAATCTTCATAATAATATAACTTCAATCTTCTCTGTTCTCTTACCAAGCTGGATAAAAACAACAACAAATAAACTTGTAGCTGTCATTTTCCACCCTGTGTGGCACTCTTCAGCTTTCCTTGTGAAATCAACGGCTAATAACTAACGCACCAAACATTACATCACACCAACTCTACACAACACAGATTGATTCAAGTATTAACAACAAGAGTCATTAACAGTCAACAGAAGTTGTAAAGTGATTTGTGGAATTTTAACAAAACTATTGATTAAAAAGTAACATTTATCAAATCATTCCTGTTTCATAGTTTTATTAAAGTAATGAATACATTGATTTTAACTCATTTTAATACGATACATTAAAGCATTTAAAAAAACATGGGAGGTCTAAATGAGAAAGTGAGAATGCATGACATTCTGAGACTAACAGTGGGCGTAACATTTCAATATAAGACATGTTCCCTCTAGCATTTATGTGGCTCAGTAGAATGAAGATGTGGAGCCTTGACAACCTGCTGGTTACCCTGTGCAGTAAGTTTCATAGATTACAGCTGACAGCATTTATGTCTACATACATAAGATTAATAATGTATTCATACACATCACAACAGATACAAATACATACATACTGTTTATGTTCAGTGACAAATTGAAAAGAAGCTACTTTCACTTTAATTACAATTTTAATGTTTTGTTACATTTCTTGTTTGCAGTTTCTCTGAGCTGTGTGAGCAGTGCAGCAGGGTTGATCCATTTGTTCGGATATGAAGGGAGAGACGTTAATGTTTCTTGTCCCTATGGAGAGGGATATGAGTCTTATGAGAAGTACCTGTGCAGGAATGACTGTGGCAACGATGATGTTCTCATTACAACGACAGGAGCAGCAAAGAACAAATACTCTATCCACGATGACCAAAAGAAACGAGTCCTCACAGCGACCATCTCTGATCTGAGTAGTACAGATGCTGGCAATTACAGGTGTGGGGTGACTATAACTGGTTACGATATCTACCCTGCTGAAGTAAAAGTGGAAGTTAAACAAGGTCTGTAAAAAAATACACAAACCCCAGAATTTCTATATTGTCATCATACTTATATAACCCTGTAGTTTATTTGCTACAGGTTGGACCCACAATGTATTATGGGTATGAGGCCATAATATATTAAACAATTCAACTCAGTTAATGACTTTAAGAAGCTGCAAAAACATAACTGTTTTGTAAATATGTTTTCCTGTAAGGCATTTTAGTCGTCTGTATAGTTGTTAGTGGTTTTTACAGTTTTTTCATATTGTTATTTCCTGCTTTAACGTTTGAGTGTTTGCGCTGTACAGCACCTTGTAACTCTGGTGTTTTTAAAACTAAATATTACTTAGTTACTGATTTACAGTGGTGAAATGTAACTAAGTACATTTACTCAAGTACTGTAAATAAGTACATTTTGAGGTACTGTATGTATTTTCTGTATATTTCCCTTTTCTGCTACTTTATACTTCTACTCCACCACATTTCAGTGGCATATATTGCATATTTTTACTGCATGACATTTTTCTGACGGATATAGCTACTTTGTAGATTTACTTTTAGATAAAAGACACATCATCATATATATATATAGATTATATTACCAGTAAGTAAAATATTTTAAAAGAATAGCATTACTACCACATTGGTCAACTATTATGCTGTTTACATGTAAATTAATAAGTAACAATAATCCAGTAGTAACACAACACTGAGTGGGTTCGTTCTTTCTGCATGATCAGTTAACAATACTGTATTTTACAAAAGTAAACATTTTAAATCACTTTTTTTTTACATTGTGATTTTACTTTTCTTGTCTGTGCTTGTGACGGTCTGTGATGTTGATTATTTTACTGACAGACACCTGCTGTGACCGATCCACCAAAGTCCAAGGTTATGAGACAGGTTCAGTGTCCTTCAGTTGTCCGTATGAGTCTGAGTACCTGAACAACATAAAGTACATCTGCAGAGGAAACCAGCCCTCCACATGTCTGCAGCAGGCTTTAATCACCTCTGATCACAAACCAAACAGACAGTTCACACTGACTGATGATACAGCTTCAAGGAAATTCACAGTGACTATCACTGGTGTGACCCAAAGGGATTCTGGGTCGTACCTTTGTGGTGTCCATAGAAACACTGGCCTGGATGTTTTCTCTGCTGTTGAGCTAGAAGTCAAAGGTGATTCATCATAGCTCTAACTCATCATATTGCAGTGAACCATTAATTTCCTACAGTATGTAAATCAGCCAGAAAACTGTTTTAATGAGAAAAAAGATATTAAAAGTTTGATTTTAAATCATTTGTCAAAATGTATCAAATATTAGGAGGAAAGTCCCCATGCACATCCATTTCTAATGTGATCGTAGGCTCAAATCTCCTTCTGTTTGACAGAGTGGTGCTGTGTGAAAACAAGCAAACTGAGCGGCATTGTGGGACATCCAGTAACTATGCAGTGTCCCTATCCACCACAACACAAGAATAACAGGAAGTTCCTCTGTAAGGGAGACCATCACATCAGCTGTACAGACATGGTGACGAGTCAAAGCAGGTTCACGCTGCAGGATGCCGTCTCTTCCAGCTCTTTCTTGGTGATGATCACAGAGCTGAAAGCAGGTGATGCTGGGACATACTGGTGTGGTTCAGACTCACAGTGGACTACTGCTAACTACACCAAGATTCATCTGTCAGTAGGTAAGGTTATAAAAAGAGCAGCAGATCCAATCCAATCCAATCCAACTTTATTTGTTAAGCACTTTAAAACAACCAAAGTTGACCAAAGTGCTGTACAGGAGAATAAATAAGACATCATAAATAAAAGACATAACAGCTCACATGAGGCGCAAAATAACATGTAATACAACAATAAAATGAAAAGACATAAATAAAAATAATAACCATGCAATAACAAGCAATCAAAAAGTAAAAATAACAAATACAAAAAATAAATCAAGTAAATAAAGTCGACATCTTACTAGGTGTCAAAGGCCACAGAGAAGAGATGGGGAATACAGTTCAATATCTGACACTAAAAATGAATGTAATCCTGCTGTATAAACTTTGTGTCCTGCAGGTTCAGTTAGCACAGGTCTACATCATGTGACATAATGTGTTTAATGCATCTTCCTCTTTTCTGACCATCAATCAATAGCAGAACTGACAGTAAATCTAGTCTAAAATGTTACTGGCTAGTATCACATATATTATGTTATGATGAACAGAATAATGCGGTACTTCGCTCTCCCTCAAATAGCAGTCACATTACAAAATCTACAACTTGTTAAAAACACATTGACCTTTTTTTTTCTATTTTATGTCTGACAGACACACCACAGACCAACAGTGTGACGTCAACCATCACTGTGGAGGAATCTGCCAGATCGCCATCAATGCATATCCCTGGCAAAGATGTCATGGGTACATCATGTGGTCAAGCAACTTGCTAAAACACACAGAGCAATTATGAGAAGTGAACATGAACACATCAAAGGCCACAGTTCAGATGCTGTTGTATGTTTTCAAGAAGTGTACATTTTCTCTCTGTTCTGTTTTCAGATGCAACACTCTTTCACTCTGTGGTTTTTATTGTGCCCGCTGTGCTGCTCATACTGGTGATTGCTCTGGTTCTAGTTTATAAAAACAAATGTCACAAAGTGCGAGGTATGTTTTACAGTACCAATGTACAGACCCCTGCACACATTCAAACACACATATGCCTGCAAACAAATTGTGTGACCATTTCTTTTGCTGTTTGCAGGAGATGAAGCTGTCATCATGAACAGAAACAAAACCAAGGCAGCAGAGGCAGAGGACGTGATCGATCTCCCAGATGTAAGAATACAAAAGTTCAAAGGTTTCCTAGAGGACACAACTTTCACAGCAACCTGATCTGTGAATG